GGGTTCGAATCCCACTTCTGACAACAAGTTTTTCTTTCTTCTACCAAATCCAACAAGCTAAATGAAATAGTGATCTACTGTTACAGCAAGTGCGATAACAAATAAGAGTAAAAACAAACAATATGGCTTCACATCCAAAAGCAAAGAACTACAAAAGCTGTCCCACCAGTTTCAGCAGCTTAAAGTATGTCCTTCTTGAACCTGGGTATTGTACAAGCTTCCTGCTCCAGTTTCCTTAGTCTCACTCGCTGTTATCATAAAAAGGTCTGTGGGTTGCTGAAAGCACATAATGCACTATTACAGAATCTATCAATAAAACCAATTCGTGTAATGTAATGTCTGAAGTTGAAAAATCTCTACTTTATGTAAATGAGAGGGGAATCCCAGCTACACAGAAAAATGTATATCCCGAAAAAAGGACCGAAAGAATATTCTGAGCTGTAAGCTGCCACAAGAGGACCTTGTCTACTTTGTAAACTGCAGAAAAGAATGTTGTTTTGAAGCAGGAAACAAAACAACTTTTGCAGGTGTAGAGACTTGGTGGAATTAAGTCCTTTGTTTAAAACATCTAGGTATTTCAGGGCATAAAATGAAGAGCCTAACCCCTATGCAAAAGGCTAATGCCTGTAAGTATTTTCAGCAATTGTTGATGTACACAGTAGCTTACTGACCCATCTGCATTAAGGCTGAGCTACCTCCAGTGGGTCAGAGGACTCTGACATGAATGGATGGTATTTGAGATATTTTGGGACTAGCAGGGGCAGACAGGGACGAGGGGTAAAGCAGCTGTGGTAGGGATGGTGGTCTGTTACATAAGCTTAGATATTGTATGTTTGCAAAGTGCTGAGCCACAGCTGGCCACCGTAAGTCCACTACAGTGTGAAGGTGTGGTGTACACAAACATAAGTTCTCTGTCAGACTGGTCCTGCAAGTGTCTATTAACAGCCTGTGTCCCTGGGACCGATCCACTTTCAGCTTATCTTATCTGAACAGTAAAGTGACTGGATGGAGTGCACGCAGAAAGCAAAAGTAAATTTTAACAGACATGCAAAGGTGCTCAAATTATTACAAATTTGAATTCATTAGTCGGTACTCACCAATGCCGGTATTTGCGCTGACGACCAGCATAGCGAAATCCGGACAGTAGCTGGTGAGACCGAAGATGGTGGTCTTCAAGTACTTGTGGTGACCCGCCAGATCAATGAATGTAATCATTTTAGAGGCACACTCACAAATCTCCTCTGCTGTCCGAGACTCGCTGTAATTCACAACCTGGGAAAATAAATAATAGTATCTGGATTGTCATGATTCAAATGACGTATTAAGTATTCCTCATTTACTTGAAAGTATACATCAGGCTAGATATTAGTAACTCGCATTACTTGCAGATGCAGTAGTCTGATGAATAATACATTAGAACATTAATATTTAATTGCATGAACTGTCTTACTTCTTTCTATAATATTACCAGAATCATATTGTCTTGTCTGATTTACTTGGAACATCTCGATAAGGCAACCTAGGGTATGCCTTATTTATTCTTTGGCGTCGGACTCCTTTCTCACCTCTCCTTTACTATTGAAGCCAAGGATTTCAAAGCTGATGCTTGAAGTGCGTCCAGTCTGGATCTCATGTAGATGTCTGAAGAGGTTGAGCCTCGCTCTTCCCCGCCCATTGTCCAGCTCACCCTGTGTCAAAACACCCAACAGAGTGGACTTTCCAGAGTCCACGTTACCCAGTACAGCTACTCGCAGGTCCAAGAACTGCAGGAAAAAACACAAAGAATAAGCATGAATAAAAAACAAATAATAAAAAAAGAGCAACAACACAGAGCAACAACATGACCTAATAGTAGCCCTCCTGACCTGCTGGTCATCTGGCACCTTGCGAATGAGAACCTCAGAAATCTTACGAGGCACATCAGAATCATAGTCCACCTCTCGCTCTCTGAGGACGGTGATGTCAGCGCCAACTCTGTCAGAAAAACATTAACAAATATAGAAATAATAAGTGTGGTGTTTTGATAGTGTAATTACAAAAATGAAATGCTTGTTACTTTAAGTATGCTTGAGATATTTGAAAAGTGTTTACGATGGCACATTTGTATTCACCATTTGTTTGGTTATAACTTAATATCAAACAGTGACAATACACTACGTTTTGAATAAAAAGTGATTTTGATAATAGCTCCACTTACTTTTCTGCCAGCTTATGAAGCGTCTTTAGTGATGCCCTCATGTCTTCCTCTGATAGTCCCACCAGCATGCCATTATCCTCAACACCTATTTGATAAACAGCCTCCCCTCGACCCTCCTGCAGTCGCCATTTCATTTGTGTTGCCAGGTGCTCGAAGCGGTATTGTGTGGGGTTCACCAACTTCAACTAGACAAAGAAAAAGACTTTAGCGCTGAACTTAAACCTAGATTGTGGCCAGTTCGTGCGACATGGGTCTAATTAAGTAAAATAAGTCAATCTTGAAGTGGCAGGGGAAGCAGCTGTCCACATTCTAAAAATGCTCCTGCTAATCCACTGTGGTGTTGATTGTCCATGGTAGACCATGTGAGACTACACTTCTACATTCTTATACATGTGCTGACAGCTTATTGTAACGGTGTTTGACTAATATATGTGACCTATAACACTCCTGTCAGTGACATAACCACTCATTTTTATAGTGTTATAAAGCCACTAGCCCACTTTGAAGGAAAATAAAACATCTTTTGAATCCAACACAATCCTTGCATGACAGCCAATTTGCTTACCTTGTACTCTATATTTCCCTCTTCAGCCTAAGAGACAGGGAGCGAAACAAAGAGAGACAGAGAGTGAGAACAGGAACAACAGCTGTCGGACTGTAGAGAAGTGAGACAACAGGCTATTGATTTGGTAAAAGACACAAAGAAACGCAATCTGAGTGAATGAGCGGTCAGTGCACTGCCGTGAATAGGTAGTCACTGAGAGCTATACAAACTAAGTGCTTAGCAAGCCTTAATGCACAGCTATTAGGCAAAGCACACTGATGTGTAAAAGTCAATATACATGTAAGGTTAGCAGTTACCATGCCTACAAGTGGGACAAACGTATATACAAGTGTGTACTAACATGTATGATGGCTGCAGGAAAGGGGAGCTGGTTACATGCAATCAGCTGAAACAACAACTGAAGCCATGGTATATGCTGAGACATGTCCCATCACGACCACGGTAACTGGCCATAAACTACAACGAGCTCAGCTGACTCTTTCCTTACAGTGTCGTAACACAGTCCTCGGCTCAGTGAATGTCAGGGACTGTAATAGCAACATTAGCTACGTATAGTATGTTGACCGAGTGTACACCCACCCGCCCCCTGTTAGATATTTACAAACACAGCTGTTCCTCTTTTGCTAGCTGGCTAAATACTAGCCAGCTATTAGCAAAACGCGTTTAGTTTGACACACACATTTTGGCTAAACGCTGTAAAACTGCTGTGACTGGCAACTTCGTGTACGTTAAGTTGGCAGCAAGTGTTGCTTTAATGCTAGCCTACGTATACAGCAGCTCATTCATTTCCCTTTACGTTGCCGACTAGCTACGTGTCACTGCGAGTTCAAAGTCAGGACAGGGTAGCAGCAAACCCCGACGACGGGAAATGCAGTGGATATCTGTGTTTACTAGTGTGAAAACATCCACACATGCACACAAACACAGACTTCAGTTCACATTGTTGTTGGCTAAGTTACTTCGCCGTGGGTCGTGGAAAATGAGCTTCATCGGAGTTACGCTAGCGGCACTTGTGCGCTTAATTTCAGCCTTACCTCTGGAGGTAGATACGGGGTGTTATTGCTTGGTTTGAAGTTGCGAGAGTATCGAGCCTTGGATTTCTTGTTGTTCTTCACACAAGCTTTTTTGGGGGCTACCGAATAGCCATTGCCCGGTTTGCCGTTGGACGCAGCACCGTGTCCATTTCCTGAGCAAAACAACTCCGATACCCGCGCATCCATCAGCTACTTTGGGGACTAACTTGTTAGCTTTACCACCACCTGGATAAATATGATGCTGTGTTGTTAAAATGGTGGCATGCAGGTGTTTTTTTTTTGAGTGGAATTAGCCTGCTAGTGGTAGCTTACAGCCCCCCCCCCAAAATAAAAACAAAGCACCGACCTCCCCCAAACTCTTCAAACCGAACAATAACAGCCCCGACAGAGACTGTCGTTTTGAGTTTACGCCGTGCCCACGTCATAGCCCTGAATGTCAATGTGTGCCTGAATTTTAACAACTGGACAGCGCGAGTGAGCGGGTCTATTGGTTTTCTGTCGTGTGCGCGGTTGTATGTAGGTTTAAACCCCGCCCGCCTAGCTACCTAAGTTAGAAAAAAAAGCGCACAGCGTTTTGCACCGCTTTGCATCAGACGAAAAAGGAAACAATTACATACTCGTTTACAAAGACTTTAGATACACTTGTCAAACGTGATTACACAACATTTTTAAATGTGTCATGAACTTAGACGTGCTACGTCAATGAATGGAATTTGACCTGTTGGTTGGCTTTAAAGGAGAATACATCCTCAGCTGTGTGTTCAATGCCACGCCACATCACAACATATACACACACACACACACACACACACACACACAACGACAACATGAAGACACAACCTTTTTTATTTTCATAAAGCTTGAGGTTGACTTATCCACTCCAATGCTACACTTATGAACAATCAGTCATACAGCATTACAGTGTTGCTCCCACATTGTGTTTTGCCAGATTGTCAGTTTTCACCTGGCAAAAACAAACAAACAAACAGCGACTTGAGTGGTTCAATTTCTTGACCACAGCTAGGGGACAAGAGTGCCATCTAGTGTTTGGTTAACAAATATTCCTATATTGACCCAAAGTCCGTGGACCTCTAGGCGCCCTTGAGAGGACAAAAGGTCGCAATGGAAAATCTGACTAATTCAGAGGTGGTTAAAAATGACTGACAAGTATGTTTGTGGCCATAGTTTTTGACACAATGTGAAAGTGGGTCTGACTGTGTCTGTTTGACCATTTCCTGATTGTGTATTTGAATATGTCAGACTAGGTTTGTTTGCATTTATTTAACACATTTGTTTAGAAAATGACTAGATTTTAACTGGACCAGATGTCACCAAAAAAGCCCTGTTACATTAAATTTGCTCCTGTTGTTGCAATTACTAGTGGTATGGCATTATTCTTATGCTGTTGTATTTCACAACACTATCACATCCGGCACAGAGACAAGTTAGTAACACCTATATTTCATCTCAGGCTTAGAGTCACAGAGGATCAGTAGAGCTGAATGTGATAAACAAATAACAAAGTAACTGAACTCAACTTTTTACAAACAAACTCATTTTAGATTATTGCACTCATTTTACTTCCAGTGACATAAAACACATTGCAAACACACATTGCAAAAAGGGAACTACAACTCAATCTCGTTATACAGCCCTGTGTTGTAAAACGTTAAATCTATCTTGTAATCTTTAGTCTATCCAAAAATATGACTCTTAAATCATAGACCTGTTGAAAGAACAACATGCAGTATGTCAACACATGAAGTTTTACAAAGCTCAGGACACACAGTTCACATAAACTGTCACAGCTTGTTCGTGCAAAGAGACTGATTTTGAGAAAAGTCAGCCAACTCCCCTGTGGGAAATGAATAGTTCTACAGAGTGTGGCATTTCTGAAACTCAACACTGATTGGTCAGGCGACCTATGATGTAGGGGCTCAGCCCATTCAGTCCTGGCTGAGAGTGTTTTGGGATTTTTACAGCTTTAAATTCCTTCAAACGTGTTTATTCTCACCCGCACGCACACACAGGCACTCCCTTGGTTCTGCTCTTTCGGTCAGCATGAGTTATCCACTGGTGATTCTGCTCTGTGTGGGACTACTGCACCAGACTGCGAGGGCCGTCCTCATGGATAAACTAGCAGACAGCAAGATTTGTGGAGATGCAGAATGCTCATGTAAGTCAGAGCATTAAAGAGAAGCATGACGCAGTGTGTAGAAGAGTGTATCCTGAAAACTGTTATGCATTACAATTCTACAATCAAATGCATGTGCTTGATAACTTTTACATTTAAAAAAAACATAACTTTTATCAATTCTTCCCCTTTATCTTTTGTTTTCTGTGCTTTATTAGATGTTCTCTCCATGGCTACAGCCTTGGATGACTTCATAGCTCCTGACTGCAGATTCATCAACATCAAGAAGGGTCAGATGGTTTATGTGTATTCTAAACTCATACCAGAGGAGGGCGCTGGAGTCTTCTGGTCTGGAAGTGTATGTGCATATTTGTTACATGTTACAAAAGGACCAGCTGTGACAAAGTTTGAAACTTTCAGGCCTTTTTGACTAAAATGTCAACAAAGACATTTGGCTAAATATTAAATTTGATTGTATTGGAAACTGGCAAGCATTTAAATTACTTTATTACCTCTTGAGGATGGTTAAATGCATAAAGCACCTAATGTTGTGTATGGTTATTTGTTATTTTCACTGGCAGGTTTATAGTGACCGGTATGTGGACCAGATGGGTATCATTGGATACTTCCCTGCAACTGTGGTGAAGGAGACACATAAGTTTGTCGAAGACACAGTTAAGATTACCACAGCTGTGAGTATTTATAGGGCAATATCTAAGATGAATACTTCATTTTCTTCTGAGGTAGGATATCGTGGTTGTATCACATTTAATTGCATTTTGTGTTACCTTTTTTTCAGGACTTGGACTTCTACTGTGATTAAGACATGAAAGACCGAAGCCTCTTTTTCTCAAGTCTTGCTTTTAGTAAGACAGTTCTTCTCTCAAGCTGGTGTGTCCGACTATGTGCCATTACATCCTGTGGTGTTGTCTGGACACTCTCAGCCCTCCATAGCCCACAGTCTGACACCTATGTTGTTGAGACAGTTTGTCCTTTCTGTCTTCCTTTGTCTTAACAAGACACTTTGCTCAATAAACCTGTTTTCATGTCAATCCAAAGTGTTGATTATTATTATTTGTTTTCTGCATTACCATGACTCTACAGGATTGGTAACTGCAGTTTTATTGTACATTTCTGCTGATAACACACTGTTATCATTTTGCATTTAACTGCATTGCTTACAGTACATTATGATTCATTCCAAAGCAGCGGGGAACAAAGTACTTTAAGAGAAATGTATGGTCTTTAAGAGATATAATTTCACAAAGGCATAATAGCATTTTCATTGTCTATATTACTCATGTTAGCCATTTTGTGTCAAACACATTATCCGTTTTTTGTATTGTGGTTCTGTGGCCAATTAACGAGCCCCAATCTCCTCTCTTGCACACTCATCCTACAAATGGAAAAAACAAATACTGTACAAACCATTCTGAACTAACTCTGGTAAATCTAATTAGTGGTATTAATACAGGTGAGTTATGGTGATATATGGTGAAGTTGCAATGAGATGAATGTAAGACTGATAAATGAGGTAGTCAGTAAATCTAATGACTACATCAGCACTGCTAAACACTCAAAAATAAGAAAGCTGAGAGGCAAACAGCATACAGTTTTATTATTATTATCTGAGGGGAAGGTTAAAATCGATAAGCCTGGAAATGTAAATATGTGTGAAGCAACACACCCAGACTCAATCATTGCTTCTCTCTCATGCTCTCTCATATGCCTTCTGTCTCTCAATACAGGTAGTATCTGTGATTGTAATCTATGATTGTACCTGTTTGTGACACTTAAACTTGTCAATACAGTTTATTGGCAGTTTATACATCTAACAAAAATTACTGACAGTTGACAGTGACAGTCAGTGTTTTTTTTAGTAATATGGCTTATTTCCCCTGTAATGAGACAGATAGGAAGGTTTCGTTGGGTGACCAACACAAAATAACAAACAATTTTTTAATATTTAATCTTAAGTATCTAATCATAATTGCACACACTGTTATAGGTGGATTATATTGCATGCCAGTTAGCCGTTAGCCTGTCATCACCCTATAGTTTACACTGTATGTCTATCCTTATTGGTTTGTTCACAACTTATGATGACTGTTGTATGTATTCTGTGTTTGACCATGCATTTTTTTAGACCAATGCACGTGCAGTTTTTAAAAGCTCTGTTAGATGTCTGATGTTGCTTTGAAATATATCAAAGTGCCCCATGCCAGACCTCCTCAAAAGCTCACAAAGGCTGCTTAATGCCACATGGTGTATCTGACCTTTGTAGCTTTGGTTTTAATTGTGATGAAGTTACTTCATGGTTCAAGTTATTTTCCATGAAGTGTTATTGCATTCTCTCTTGTGTACCACTCATCTCCCTTCTTTAAATCTATATCTGTAAGCCAGTCTGTCTGTCTATTTCACATGCACCCGCCAACACACGCACACACACACACACCACACACACACACACACACACAGCTTCCAGAAAGAGCTATCATGATTAAACATGGCCTGACATATTGTCACAGTTAAGATCTTTCCAAAAGATGATTTGAAATATTTTTTGATTGGTTTTGAATCTTCAGTATCTCTACTTTATGCGTCATAGCTCCCACCCAGATACAGTGGTGAATAAAACATATCAATCAAATGTTCTCTGTTTAAAATGGAGGATTATCAGATTTAAAGACGTTTCATTTTGATAAAGAGAGCCTCAGTGATTTAGTCAATGTTCTTCCGAGCTGCCAGTTAGTGTCTGCCATCGCCAGAAGTCTCTTACATGACTGCTACATGCATTGATTTGTGAGGCCACTACAAACAGGTCATTTTCATTAGTTTATTTCTGTCTGACCTGAGGCATTCTTAGAAAGGCATGGCTTACAAGTTTAGGGATAGGGCTGTCACACATTACAATCAATCTCCTTTCTTCTTCCCAGTCCAGATCAATACAAACCTACTTCAAATGAGGACATCTACTGCAAAATGTCACTCCGCAAAAACATACCTGGGGCATGTCTGAGGGGTCTGTTAAAGCAGGGACAATTTCACAAGAAAAGAGAAGGCAGAAATACTTCCTGTAGCAACAAAAAGCATCTGGCTCAATATGTGGTCATACTAGAATGAAAATGGCATCATTACATAGTAGGCTATGTACAACAGAAATGAATGCTGAATCCAATGGTAATTGCTAACAATTGTGAAAAGCTCTGCATCTTTTCAGCTGATTGCCATTTGCGGTTGTACATGTGCGTACCTTTGCACATCCACTAAATACACAAATTACAGAAATTTACTCCTGTCTAAAGTCAATCTTCCATCAGATAGCTATAGTTTTAGGGTGTTACCATGGTGACAGGCAGAAATACTGTGACAGATGAGATTGATGTGTGTGCATGTTTGTGTGTTTCCTGTGTGTAAGCTTAAAGGAGCAGCTGCCAACGCAGGCTACGGGAGGTGCATTTTTTCCATCCGGTGTCACACCCACACCTCTACGCTAAGCAGCACAGCACCCTGTAGAGCTGAGAAAATCAACAGCTTCAGGTCTAGTTAGCATCTGGGCATGACATTTTTGACTGGGGAATTTTTACACCCCAAAAACTATTGTCTAGCATTTCTGTGCGATGCAACGAGTCGTGATACTGTGAAACAAATGTGATCTAACAGCTCTTAATCAGAACAGTCAAATTACTTCTTGATTCCAACAAATAAAACTGAGTTTTGTTTTTCAAAGATGAAGCAATTATAAAGGGAGAAGGAAATATTACAGCTAATTTAACAAACATTTGTGCATTTTCCTAACACTCCAAAGCACTGTACTGGAAGAATAACTTGTCAGGTCTGAAATAAAGTATATAACCTTTACTGAGTAGAAGTGAGGTAGAAATGAAAAAAGATTGAGGCTAGAAGAGCATTTAAAGTGCAAACCAAGGCATGGGATGACTCAGGTTGAATGTTTTTGATGGAACAGCTCATTTCTTTCCAACAAGGCTCTTTTTTGAGTAAATGACTTGACAATAACAGACAAAAAACTTAATTCTGCTATCCACTAGAGTGATGGAAGACTGGGGGCCACTGTATTGTTCCGATGTGTCATTATTCCGTGTTAGTACACAATAGTACGAAAAATGTCCCATTTGACCAGAAACCCATTTGCCGACAGCTCATTTTCTGAAAATACACCCTCTGGTATCACCAACGTACGTAACTGATTTTACTTATTTTATCCCAAACCATTATTCTTTCCTAGTAGTTTTGTTACCTAAGCCTAGCCAAACTGCAAAGTTGACCACATGTTTATCATTGTCACTATTATTTGTCCCATACTGCACGTCCTATTAAGGAGTGTGTATTTTTGGAAAAACAGGCCTTCAGAGCACTAATTTTAAGCTAACAGGCTGTCAGATAAATAGTTTTTTGGTCCAGTGGGACAATTTTTGGACTATTGGGGTTTCGGATTATTGGGCTGTTGGAACACTGGGCAGTCTATGTGATGCATGCATGAATAGAGGAAAAAGCAAGCGTGTCAGGAGTGACTGGCTTAATCAGTAGTGTCTTCAACGTGCTTGAACGATAGGGTTTGTCGGCGCAGATTTTTCTCTAGAGTGTCAGAAAATGCCAGCTCACTGCTTGTTTGGACTAAATCAATCAATCAATCAGCAAGAATCAATCACTGCTAATGCCTGAGGATCAGCAGTGTCCTTCTCACTTGATTAATATCATCTACATTTGAAAATGCATTTGTCAGTCTAGTTTTGTGTCAAGAATGTGTCACCTCCAGCTGGCCACATCATGTGTATTGCTGCCATACTTCAAAGATAAAGTGACAATAGAAGTGTTCAACTGAGAAGAAAATGTAGCTACGTCAATATTCTTTTTCTTTTAATATGTATCAATCTTACTCTTTTGCTATCTCTCTCTCTCTGTATCTGTGTTATATCTCTGACTCATATAATTGCACAAGCTAGTGTAATTTTCTCTGTCACACCACCACACAAAGAAACCATTGATTTCATTTCTTGTGTGTCCAACCCTCCAAACAACGCAGGACTTGTATCTACTCCTTATGGGGAAAAAAAATTCAATTTGATGATTGACATTTCAACAATTGATAAATAGTGAAATTAGTGACTATTCCCATTAAGTTCATTTGTTCATATTGTAATAGTACTGAGGCTATCTCTCCAGCAGCTACATATTCCATACAGGGGAATGTCCCCACCTAACAGATGACATGGATAATTATTTAAGACACACTAGTAGTACTGGCTTGCATAAGGCACAGGTCTGTGTGATAATTCTGGTGTTTTATCTCTACTGAGAACAAACCAGAAGTATAAAGAAAGAAAGAGAGTGTCACGACCCGGCTCTTAAGT